AGACCGCGAAACGTTTCCCAGGAATCATTTCCACCTGCTGTGCGCCAACGATAATTACCCTATTCCTACGATGAGCCGGGAATTATTACATTGGAAGCTTCAAAATGCTTGGATAAATATGAAAAGCTACCTTGATAAAATTTAACGAGTTCGGAACGTTGCTGGTGCGTAGAAATACAGTGGTTTGGCGGCACGCTATACTTAGCGGTGATTCTTCTAATTCTAGAATCTGTCGGACTTGGTCGGAGTCAAGTTGGATCCATTAGAATTAAAATGTAGCAGATATAGATTATATTGAAATTAAGGGAAAATACTTTAAATTTAAGCTTTATCGAAGATAGAATGTAGTAGATTTATACAATCATAACACTTCTGTTAATTCTGTTCGAAGGAACGAACCCTTACAAAAGGCTACCTAATATTAAAAATTCCACTAATTCTACCTTTACTGTAACCTTTACTGTCTAGATTACGGAGCACTCCAAATCTGTTTGAATTTATAATCTGTTCTACGAATAGTTTATTCTAAACTCGAAATCTACCAAGTCTAATGTAGACTGCTCCAGTTTGATCAAGAGTAGAATTTAGTAGATACGTATACATGTAAGGATATTTATTCGCAATACAAATTGAATGACTAATCAATAAATTACTAACACAAATTGATAAACATAATTGACAACTATAAAACATACAAACATACCTAATGGTTTAAACATAAACATTCATCCAACATTCACATTACAATACATTACATATATGAGATAGCAGATTCTTATAGGAAATCCAATGATCTCCAAAAAATGACTCTAGTAAGAATCTCGCAAGTCTAACCGTTATAAATTTATAAGCTGCTAAAGTTGAAATGATAAGACTTTGTCTATTTTTCTGAATTTTTAATATTTTTTAAATTCTAATAATATCAACTTTACTATCTTATAACTTTATATCAGGTATACTTACGAAATGTGTACAACAATTTTTGTTTTAAGAGCATCCCATTTCTCATAAGAATACACCATCCATAATATTTCCGTTATTTCATTCTCAAAATATCAAAATCAGAATGCAACAAGTTTTCTTTCCTACATATTAAAGTGGGAGAATTCAATCATTGCGCAGAGACACTAAAATTTGAGAACTAAAATTTTTGGAGAATTTGTTTATAGTTACTACAAAGCATTTAATATCCCGGGAACATTCAATTTCGAAATTCATCCTTTTAAGAACCCCCTAATAACCATACATCCAAGTTCTGTTAAAGCTATTAGCCTTTTGTAAGTCTTACAAAAGAAAACTAATTGTAATTATACTCATCATTTAAGGAGGTCATCCCGTGTGACGGCCGTTTTTTTTAAGGTTTCTTCGGAATTTCTTTATGGCAAAATGAAAAAACACAGAGTTTCCAAATTTTTACTATATACTTATTCAGTCTTTAACTGTAACTTTGAATTTTTTTAAGCAAAAATATCATGTGGATCGCGAAATTTATCGCTCGTATGGTACTCATGTAAAACAAAGGTAGGTGAACGGCATCCATGATTCCGGCAGACTGGATAATCTGAAATAAAAAAATCAAATTGCATGCTAATCTGTAGATGGATGGCTATTGCCGGAACTAACATTTTTTAAAAATCTTGAAAATTCAATTTTTTATATACTTTTAAACCGTAAAATCCAAAATTTCATGATCTTTTACGACTACTTATTTATGAAAAAAAAACGGTTCAATATTTTTCAAAAATCCTAGTTCGAGCGATAGCCATCCACCTATAGATTAACATGTAATTTGTATTTTTTATTTCAGATTAGCCAGTCTGCCGAAATCATGAACGCCATTCACCTACCTTTTTGTTTTTACATACGAGCGATAAATTTCGTGATCCAGATTATATTTTTACTTTAAAAAATTCAATGTTACAGTTAAAGGCTGAATAAATATATAGTAAAAATTTGAAAGCTCTGTATCTTTTCATTTCGCTATAAAAAATTCCGAAAAAAAAAACAACAAAAAAACAGCCGTCACACGGGATAACTCCCTTAAACGTATTGATGTATTATTTCCATTTATTTCATTAATAAATAAATAAACTACAATCTACGTCTCACAGATTCCAAACTACCTTCGAGCCCATTCCTGTCGAACATGAGACTCGCTACACCTAACCGAATACCAGCTCAGTGCAAAATATATTACAGGTATTTTACCTTCGACACTTGCCGAACCTAGAACCTGTCACGCCTGTGTACCTGCGCTAGGTGCGAGAAGACCCGAACCTGGATAATAAACCCGAGGCCCACGAGGTCCTCATTTGCGTTGAGTCTAACCCTTGGTAATTTATAAAGCTCCTTACGTTAGCCTCCAATTCTGAGATACGTTCGTAAATTTTCTGACGTCGCGTCGTTTCAGAAACGCCGCGCGGTCGGTAAACAAACAAAACGTATCGCCAATCGCGAATATAATGTCGGCCGCGCGAAATATCGCCGCGACGTCGATTTCGCAACGCGATTAAATTATATCGGCGTAAAACAGGAACAGCAACCACGGTATAAAGTTTATTGTGCGTCAACAGTATAACACGGCGACGACGCAACTTCCCCTTCCCTCCCCACCCCTCCCGGCCCCGTGCACGCAATTTTTGTCCTATTCATCTTTTTCGCGACTAGTAGCTGCGAAATTTTCAACGAGCAGCTACGACGTGCCGGTCGTCGCCGTTACGAACAAATAACGAGAGATTGTTATTGTTTTTACGTGCGACAGGCAGAACGACGAATTTTACGAGCGCGCGGTAAACAGCTGAATATTACTGCGATCGTAAACTCCCTTTTATCGTTCGTTCGAATCGTTACGCGATTTCCAGCAGATATAGATGCACACGCGCGAATTCGACGTGCACGAATGCCCACTAATACTAAAGCCGGGACATATCGTTGCTGGTTGATCGCTAGACAACGATCGATCGACCCAACAAGACCGGATAGATGTTACTTTTAGTCGCGGCCGGTAACGAGCGGCCTAGATTTTCGAATCAAGTTTAAGGAGTTACGTCATTACGTACACAGGAGTTACATCGCAGACTTTGAATAAAAGGTTTTTCGAAAGGGAGGATGTTTTTAAGGGACATGTTTTTAAGGTAGCTGTTTCCAGATAGTCACGTCCAAAAGTGTAACTTATCGAACATAGAGAGTATTCTCGTCTGGAACTTTCAAGATATCGTACTTTGTTTTGCATATTCTCAAAGTGTAGATCTACGAAAATGTATCTGTCAAGGATTTTGTTGAATGCGGAAAATTCAAAGTTAAGGACGTCTAACTAAGGAGTAAGGAGTCTAATCTAAAGAGTTACATCACATCGCAGACTTCGAATAAAAGGTTTTTCAAAAGGGATTAAGGTACAGTGTCGGAGAAAATGATAGGACGTTTGATGAATTTGTGTATTTCATATAACATAATAGGATATCTGGCCATATTACTCACCCTATACAGGGTGTCCCAAAAGTCGGGGAGGAGCCGGAAATGGGGGG